ACGGCGTTGCGGTCTTACATGGGCGAGCGATGGCGCAGGTGCATCTGCTCATAGAGGCCCCTGTGAGCGGCCTCCGCGGCCTCCGACAGAGCGCGACTGAAAGCGTCGGGATTGCTTTGTCCCCGAGGCACAGGCTGCGCGCGCGAAGACGCAATCGTTGACTTGCTGAAGGCAGGCGCGCCCGCAGCCGAGGCGGGGCTGGCCGCGCGGGGCTGGCCGCCGGCGCGGTCGAAGTCGACGCGGGGCTGGCCGCCGGCGGAAGCGCCCACCCAGCGGCGGCGGGGGGCGCTCGTCGGCGTTAGAAGGGCACGCATAATGGTAGCAATCCAACTGCAACGGGCGCCCTATCCAGCGGCTTGTAATTTCAGCTCGGACGCTGAAGCGCAACGATCTGGTCCAGGCGCGCCTTGAAGGCCCCGTGCATCACGGAAGCTCCAATGCGCCCCTGCGCCAGAGACCCCTTGAAGGATGGGGGCGCTGAAAGTGAGCGGCTGCGTTGGCGGCGACTGCGTGACTGCGGCCGCGTTGCGCAGCGTAGTGCTGCGCAAAGACTGCTGGGTCAACTCGGCGAAGTTGCGCCGATTCTGCAACGCATGCCAAGAACCAGCGTTCCTGCCCATGGAGTCGTTCCACTGAGTCGTTTGAAACATGCAGATTCCACGGGCCTTGAAGTTGCCGCGCAACCCGTCAGACAACGCGTCGGATTGCTCCCCAAGACCCCGCTGTGAGCCACTGTCTAGTCCCGTGACGGCAGGGCTCCTGAAGTCTTGCAATGCGTCGATCATCATGGCGCAATCGATATGCGCGTGGTCTGGCAGGGTCTCAGGGCAGCCTCCTGTGACGCGCATGCTGTATTCACTGTATTCAGATCCTTGTGGACAAGGTGCACGGATCTGATGCGAGCGAAGGTCCGTGTCCTTTTTTCTGGGGATCGCGAGCGCTGTCGCTGGCGCCACCACATAACGGCAGACAAGCCTCATGCGGTGTCGCCCAATAAGTCCAAATTAAGTCATTGGCCTCGCGCCGTTTCTCACGTTGCTCAGTCGTCTTATTAGCGCGAGCCGCGCAGATGGCAATAGCCACGTCGCGCTGCTTGAGGCAGGCCGAGCCCTGCGTTCTGAAGGTTGCCTCGGCGCGGTCATCTTGCGCAATGCGCGCTGCCGCGCGGGCGTTTCCGCCAGCCTCTGGGAGGGCCGGCGGGTCGCGGCCGCCAGGAGTGTCGCGGGTCGCAAAGTGCTCCTGGTAGTTCTCGTTGGACAGCGCCCGCGCGATGATCTCGCCGCGGGCGAATGCGCTCGCATCCTCGAGGGCGACCCATTTCCGCGCTCGAACCTGTTGGGGCTCGCGCGCAGAAGGGGGGCCATAGCGGGGGTGGAACCCCTTGCCATTCCTAGCCGGTTGCCGCGCGAACATATCTCATCGATGCCCTGGGCTGGAGAACTCATCGCATGTGTCCTGCCTTTGTTGGTCTTCTCTATGGCAGGGGCGGGGTCCGTGTAGCAATTTACCCATCCGAAGGCATGCCCATCTCGCCCTAAAGCATGAACCCTCAATTATCCAACAACTTCCTGTGCACTGGGTAGCCATCCCGTGTCTTTGAACCAACTCTGGGTAGACCTGCCGTCGGCGATTGTACTGTAGGCAGCGCGAGTAGGATCGAAACTCAAATGATCAGAACGCACGAAGCAGCCAGCGTCTTGCGACTGCGGGATCTCAGAACCGTGGATCTTGCCATGTTCGCATAGCTGCCACGCCCGTGAATCCGGCTCCGCGGGCATTGCTACCGACCCGCCTTGGGGACGGGGCGCATCGCCGCCCAGCCTGCACGTGAGCCACGACCTCGTTTTGCATGCGCACTTCTTCCCATCTTGTAAAATTGCAGAGGCACGGCAGCGGGTTCGTTGAACGCCCTCAATGATGCGGTCACTGCGTGCAGGAACGTCGGATGTACCTGCTGTGGCGGTTGGCCCATGGGGGAGCTCGTCGTCCGGTCGCGCACTGATGCAGGGGTTCGGCGCAGCCAAGACATCGCTCGTAGGCGAGCCGGGCAGCGACCACCAGAGTAGAGGATCGCCAAAGAAAACGACCACAGCCACAGACGATTGCCCAAAAAACACATTACTAAACTTGCCCCGTGGAAGACGGACTAATTTCCACATCATCTCGAACAATTGCGTGCATCTATATTCGGGTGGGCAACGAAGTGCACCGTGCCCTGCAAGTCGGTTGGCACGTAGGTAGTCAAGTATATTATCCGTGATCGCGTTCTGCATGAATGCGTCGTGAAGGCAAGGACTCCCCACGCCAATCAAGAGCGCGAAGAATGCCAACCACACAGTAGACGCACGCACCGGATAGCGAGGCACACGATCGTCCTCATATTCATGATCAGGGGCCTCACATGCGGTCCAGGTCGTTTCGATGAGCGACCTCCTCGGCGGGAAGAGTGCACTGCCCGCTGTTGCCTAGGCGATGCTAAACGAAGAGCGCGTTCTCATCTGTACGGCCACGCGGACGAGCACGATGATCACCGAAATTCATGCCTACGCGGGTGTTTCCACCGGCGCGGGGCATTCGGTTGCTTCCACTGACCCACATGCTGTCCACAAGCGTTAGCCTGCGTAGGATGACCTTGGATTCGCGGAGCCATCAAGGTTTCTAGACGCCCGAGGGGGGGCCGAAGTCGGGGTGGGAACCGATCCCGTCGCCGATGGCACAGGAAGCGGGCAAGGGGCAGGGCACCGCGCCAGCCTGAGTCGAATTGCCACGGAGAGATCTATCCCTGACAACGCATGCACTCGCGAGCGCGGTGGAGAACGAGGGACAGAGAAAGGCAAACGGGCAGCAACAACAAGCGCAGACGCGTGGCACGCGTGCGCATGTGTCCACGTTCTTGACGTTTCATCGGGCCTTGGGTCCCTGAGAACCTCGATAGCTTACTTCTCAACAGATGGGGCTTTCGCGGGACGGACAAGGGCAAGCGCTCATAGGTCGTTCCATCAAAAAGCCTTCTTGGCCCCGAGGTGCGTAATCATCGTGTCGGCGACCTGTTCCTTTGCGCTTACATAATTAATTAAGCTCTGTTTGTCCTGCGGCACATACTTCGGTAACCCAATCGAGATTGATGCGATAAGTGCGATGGAGATGACGAGCTGCTGGTGCACGTCCTTGATCACGACCTGGTTGTCCTCTGCTATGACAACCAAGACCAAAGGCGGCCCCCTTGTGGTCCGGATCAAACGGAGGTGCGTGCACCACGTTGTCTTCGCACGCAACCATGGTCGCAAGAGTATGCGTGGGAACAGGTATATGGCGGAACGTGGCGTCTGTCTATAGAAAGAGATCGGCTAAGAGAACACGCGCGCGTCAGCGGCGCCTTCCGTGGCGGTGTCTTCCGTCGCGTTTTTTTAGCAGCCGGGTGTCCGAGATGGCGGGTGGCTTCGAATCACCGCGGCCTCCCAAAATGATAAGAGTTATAGCCCCGTCAAGCCGGCGTGTTGCGCCCAAACCGACGAACTCGGGGTCCGTGGAGGAAAGAGATGCACCTTTCAGCTTCTTGCAAACAACGCTGAGAGGACACACTGTTTTTTGGGGTCCACTCAATGTTGCGAATACTCCGGTAGTGGATTTTGACGCACTGACACAATCTGCGCATGTTGCATCTGTGAAGAGCACGATCGAGAACACGTTGGCCGCGTCACCAATCCATCCGTGGACACAATGGGAACGCGTAGATGTAAAGTACCACATCGAACGATCAAATCGTTTGCCGCACACGCAATTCAATTTGGCGCCATCCCTGGCCAGCATGCAGACAGGGTTGGGAACATCAAACCGAATGCATTATCAAAACACTCGCCGCGTCGGGGCCGAGCACGCCGGGGGTCTCATATTCCTGATCAACGAAAACACGCGCCCTCGATGCCAAGCGTCTTTGCGACGGGGAGGTCGTCGTAAGGGACATCATATAATCATTCGTGGGTTGTTCAACCGACCCGGCCCTCTTACCCACGGACGAGGGCTTCTCGACCGACGCAGCGGAGCGCGACGTACGAGAAGAGGAACACCGGGCGGCGGAGATCTGCCGCGCCGACGCGTGCCGTTTGTGGTTGAAACTTGGACGCGCATTCAAAATGACGTGAAATGCGTTGATCCATAAAACCGGGCATGACGTGACCAATGTCACGAACGTCTTTCGCAAGTTTGCATGCAGTAGGGCTGCGCTTAGGAAGCATCGGGCGTATCGTGGACATGCGCTTCTGGACATCAGGTTCAAAAACTGCGTATGTCTAGTGGCCGCAGCTCAAATATTGATCGTAGGGCGTAGGTGGATCAAATTGTATGATACTCTTGCGAAAAGGATCCAAGCCAGACTTGAGATTGCCACTGGGGCCTGCCATCTTGAAGTCGTTAATACAAACGAAGAATATGAGGTCCAAGCCGTCGTGTTTCCGAACGCACTCCCAACCGCGGATGGACTTGAATCGCACGCTTTCCAAACATGCGTGACAATGTCGCTCCCAGAACGCACCCGCCAATGGGTGGCCGTAGACAGCCAGGCGCAATCGGCAAACTGGGTTCTTGCAATTCGTCCAGGAGGCTGGGCGACGCCACAGGGGTGGAAAGGAACGGCTCATGAGGGAAACGGGCCCTGGACCCTGGGGCCTTCCCACAGGGGCAACTTTTCATCCCGAATCGTTCTTGAGGGTCCTGGGTGCTGGGGCCCTGGGAAGGCCCTGGAACTTGGAAAACGGTGCAAAACCTCGAGGACCCAAAGCAGGCACACCGACATCCTTGAAACGTTCAATGCGCCTCGATCAATTCGAGCGTGATGACGTGCACATGGGCGGCGACATAGAGCCTATCTGGGTCCGACCCGATCCCCTCCCCGACCGAATCGCCCGCCCGAGGTGTGGGTACCTCCTGCGCCGGTGCTCCTCTCCTTCTCGCGAGCCGCCCACCCCCGACGCCCCCTCGCGAAGAAGGCGCTGGGGGCGCGCCTGCGGCTTCCTCTCGCCGAATATGCGCTCGAGCTCCTCCTGTGGAGGAGAGGAGGGCGACGGGCCGAGAGAGACGGAGAGAGAGAGACCCAGACCGTATTGAAAAAAATGGTGGCAATTTGGGGCAATTCTCAGCCTGTTAGGGCCGTCTTCGGGCGCTGGGACCGTCAAAGCACTACTCAGGATGAGAAGCCAGCCCTGGAGGAAGGGTTGGGACTTCCAGAGGCCATGTAGTGAGCAATAACAGCACATCTTCAAACGTCGTGATCTCTGGGAAGGGAGAAAGGGATGACAGGGGGGAGAAGATCGGAGCGGCCCAAAGGGGCGGATATCAGAGAGAGGGTCAGTGAATCAGCTGCACGCAGCTGGCTTCCCCCGCGTCTCAAGGCGTCCGCGGCGGCCGTGTATCGGGGAAAGCAAAACGCCAAGCTGCGGAACCGGAATCAACTGCACGTGGCAAATTTTGTCCCCCAATCCCCCCGTTACGTACGAACCGGGATGAGTGGAGAGGAGAGGTTGGACGACGCCAATTATTCAACTCACGCATCCTGTCGGGGCCGATCCTGGCCAAGGAAGGAAGGACTATGCACCGACCTCGGGCCTGGGATGGGTCTATCCAGGATCGGCGTGGATACTCGACGTCCCACGGGAGAGAGAAAGAGAGAGAAAGAGAGAGACAGAGAGAGAGAGAGAGAGAAAAAAAAAAATAACACGAGAGAGATAGACAGGAGAGAGACACGAAGAACAAAAAGGGGAGAGGACACGAAAAGAAAAAGAGACATATAAAGAACGGAGAAGACAATATGAGAGAGAGAGATAATGAGAGAGCAAGACAGGAAGCAAAGAGAGACAGAGAGAGGGAAAGAGGGAACGAACGAAGGACAGCATATCGAGAAAACACTGGGTGCTCCGATGTAAAAAAGAGCACAGAAGGAGGTGTGAGCTGAAGGGACAAAACGAATTCATACTAAAAACGCCTGAAGGCACTACCGGCATGAACCGCGATATCGGTTTTACTGTAACAGAGGACGAAGAGGGGAGACTGGCGTGAAATAGTAGCATTGGCACTTGGTCACTCCCAGGGCCTGGACAGGGTCGAAACCGCAAGTCTGCCTGGACATACAGTTCCAAACAATTACGTGTCAACCGATTATGGCCAGATCTGTTGCCATGGAATGGCTTGGCCCCGACGATTGCAATGCAATTGGTTGCCGCTTGGTTCGTGACGATGCAACCGCATGTGCTGTGCTGATTCCCGGCGAATTGTGGTACGTCAGTTGTTACCAAATCACAACAAGGATTGCGCACCTCAGGGTGGCCATTTTGCGCGACACTCAACAGATGGCGCACTCGTGTGTGTGTGTGTAATGGTTTGGACGGTGGCCCCTCGAGGTTGCAACCAATTGGCCTGTCCAACGTTGCAACGTTGCCGGCCGCTATATTCGCCAAAAACGCGTTTGCATTTTTACGGCGTGTCGAGAGACTAGTGGCAACAAATCTGTTTGTATGTCATGCGAACGTGCGCGCTCCATGCCAATTGGCAGACATAGACTCCAAATGATCACGTTCGGCCCCTGTGGCTGAGGGAACGTCGTGCCGTGCCCGGAGCAGTGGAGATGCCATCAAACAGGCTAGAGATAATCCCACCAGCCCTCTGGGAGCAGGTGGTCTAGCGCGTTTCTCTCCCTTTTTCCTTTCGGGGGAAGGTTTACCCTTTCCCCCCTACCCGCTCCCCTGGACCTGGATGGGGGCGCCCCCCCAGATGGCTTCAAGAGAGCCTCACAGAGCCCAATATGATCTCCGAGATAACTCAAGATAACCCAAACTGGCTTAATATAGTTTCCAAGATGCTCCAAAGAGGCCCCAAGACCGTTCAAAGACGGCTCCAAGTTGCCACGGAGCCTTCCACGGAGTCCCCCAAAAGAGCCCCCCAAAAAGCCCAAGTGAGCCCCAAGACGGCCCCAATAACGCTCAGGGGCGCCCCAATAACGCTCCAACAAAGGCCCAAGAGGCGATTGTTGGGACTTCCGAGGGGGGGAAGCTAACTACGAAAGCCCCTTTCGTTATTCGAGCTCTTCCATGATGGCTCCAATTGGGGGCTTCTGAGGCTCCCAAGACAGCTGCCGAGGCTCACAGACACGTCCCAACAGGCTCACAAGACCGTCCAAAGAGGCTCACTGAAGGTTCCAAGAATCTCCGAGAGGTTTCTCGATTCACCCTTGTCGCCCGCGCTGTTCAACAATATGCGTCTCTTACTACATTCCCCCATCCGGTATCATGGGCATCGCACGATGCGAATCGGACGCCGGGCAAGCAGGGGCAAACTATGCCACCTGCGACGGGAAAAACATGGTTGCGAGCATCGCCGGGGCGAGGCGGAACTCAGCGCGGCCAAAATGGCGCGAAGAGGCGGAGTGGCACCAGGACCACGATGTAGGTGCCGAGCAGGATGCCGAGCAAGCGAGCCCAGAAACGGCAATGGATGGGCCAACGCAGCACCAAGATGGCCGTGGCGCGAGGCCTATCCGTACCCCAGGCAACAGTGTCAAACAATCAGTCCATGTAGGCGAAGGATACGGACGCCGCGCTTACCCAGGGAGGTGGAGGCGGCGAATCAGACCGCCAAACTTGCCGTACAAGAAAGACTTGAGAGGAGGCCTTGCCAAACAGGTAGGAGGACCGGGATGCCGAGAGGTAAACCACCTCGAGGCCTCAAAAGGGGCGATATCCAGCACCGCGTAGAGGGCCGGAAAGGACCGAATAACGTCCGCACGCTGTAGAGCACGAGGGCGCCACCAAAGGCGCGAAACCCTTCGCGTAGATGTAGACGGCCGGGTGCCGCAGGACGGAGCTGATGGGGATATGCGAAGCATCACGAACTTTGCAAAACGTTGTGCAAATTATTGCGCCGCTGGGCCCCCAATGTGCTCCGGACCCATTTGCTAGAACCCCTTCTGCACTCGGCTCCGAAGCCGGGGAATTCGCATCAAGATTGGCTTCCCAGCCGGGCTCTCCGAGGGCGGGAATCCACGGGATCCAACCCAGGTGCTGCGACTCCTGTGCATCTGGGGAACCTGCCTGCACCCCGAAATTCCGAAGGCTTGGGAGCGGGGCGCCTTCGTTGGGGTAGCGGCGTGCGTTACCGGCTGCGATGGGCCCAGCGGCGCTGCGGGCTGCCGCCGCGCGAGTTGGGTGGGGGTCGAAGGATCGTGGTCCTTCGCAGAGGCGGGGGGCGAGGGGGAAGATTAGTTGATGAAGATCCCTGCGCTTCAGGCTTCGGGTTTTGTGCAAAGAAGACGCGTTTCGCTCCAGAACGTCTCTAGACACAATGGTTACGGGTCGAGGAGAACGGGGTCGAGAAACCTTACCGGACAAGAACGGGAAGCGTCGCTTTAGTCCACCAAGCATGTGGAAAATGCTCTGTTGTTGTTATGCCGCGCAGGTATGCCGTGGCGCGCGTGTCGGCGTGCGTGCGGGGTGTGTTTTGCTGTGCTCCTGTGTATTCTGCCGTGCTCCTGTTCTGCCGTGCTTCTGTGTTCTGCCGTGCCTCTGTGTGCTCTGTGAGTTCTGCCGTGTTCCTGTATCTGCCGTGCGGATCGTCGCGATGGTCGTTTTGGCAGAGCTTCTGGGCGAACACGGCAGAAAAAAGATCAGGAGCACGGCAGAATAGGCCCCAAGAGCGAAGGAGCACGGCAGAGAAAGACAAGGAACACGGCAGAATAGACCCCAAGAGCAAATGAGTACGGCAGAATACACCCCAAAAGCTAAGGAGCACGGCAGAAAATGACCAGGAGCACGGCAGAATAGACCTCAAGAGCTAAGGAGCAGGCAGAAAAAAACCCAGGAGCACGGCAGATTAGGCCCCAAGAGCGAAGGAGCACGGCAGAAAAAGACCGGGAGCACGGCAGAATAGACCCCAGGAGCTAAGGAGCAGGGCTGGATATGCCTCAAGTGCGAAGGAGTACGGCAGAGAAAGACCAGGAACACGGCAGGATAGACCCCAAAAGCTAAGGAGCACGGCAGAGAATGACCAGCAGCACGGCAGAATAGGCCCCAAGAGCGAAGGAGCACGGCAGAAAAAACAGAAGCACGCCAGAGTAAACCCCGAGAGCTGAAGGAGTGCGGGAAAATAGACCCCAAGAGCGAAGGAGCATACCAGAAAAAAGACGAGGAGCACAGCAGAATAGAACCCAAGAGACAAGGAACACGGCAGAATATGCCCCAAGTGCGAAGGAGCACGGCAGAAAAAAAACAGGAGCACGGCAGACAAAGACCAGGAGCACAGCAGAATAGGCCCCATGAGCGAAGGAGCACGTCGGAAACAAACCAGGAGCATGGCAGAATAGACTCCAAGAGCTGCCGAGCACGGCAGAAAAAGACCAGGAGCACGGCAGAATAGACCCCAAGAGCTAAGGAGCACGGCATAATAGGCCCCAAGAGCGAAAAAGACGCCCAGAAAAGACCAGGAGCACGGCAGAAGATGCCCCAAGAGCTAAGGACGACGGCAGAAAAGACCGAAACACAGCAGAAAAGGCCCGAGGAGCCAAGGAGTACGACAGAAAAGACCAGGAGCACGGCAGAATAGGCCCGAAGAGCGAAGGAGCAAACCAGAAAAAGACGAGGAGCACGGCAGAATAGAACCCAAGAGACAAGGAGCACGGCAGAGATGCCCCAAGTGCGAAGAAGCACGGCAGAAAATGACCAGGAGCACGGCAGAATAGACCCCCAGAGCTCAGGGGCACGGCAGAAAAAGACCAGGACCATGGCAGAATAGACCCCAGAGCTAAGGAGCACGGCAGAAAAAGACCAGGAGCACGGCAGGATAGGCCCCATGAGCGAAGGAGCACGTCGGAAACAAACCAGGAGCATGGCAGAATAGACTCCAAGAGCTGCCGAGCACGGCAGAAAAAGACCAGGAGCACGGCAGAATAGACCCCAAGAGCTAAGGAGCACGGCATAATAGGCCCCAAGAGCGAAAAAGACGCCAGAAAATGACCAGGAGCACGGCAGAAGATGCCCCAAGAGCTAAGGACGACGGC